AAAAGGTTTTGGGTGGATGCTATACTTGCAGCTGCGTATGTCATCAACCGCATGCCCTCCAGAGTATTGAACTACATGGCCCCTCATCAGTTATTGTACCCTCAGTCTCCTTTATTTTCCATCCCCATGAGAGTCTTTGGTTGTCGGGCCTTTGTCCATGATTTGTTTCCATCCCGAGGTAAGTTAGACCCTCGGTCCATTCCTTGTGTTTTTCTGGGGTACCCCTTTTCTTAGAAAGGGTATCGGTGCTTTGATCAGTTAGTCGTAAGTTTTTTGTGTCTATGGATGTGTTCTTCTTTGAGTCCGAGCCATTCTTCCCTCCTCAGGGGGAGAGTCGTAGTGTGGAAGAGGAGAAGCAGGTTCAGGTATCTCTTCCTTCTATTCCGGACCTTACTCCCTTCCGTGTCTTCCAACGTACACGTCGGAGAGATCARCGGTGTGATAGAGATGTGGASCAGCCAAACACTGAGCAACTGACATCATCAAACTCCCAGGAGGTAAGTCCACCCCCTAACCCTACTTCTACTGTGGATGACCTTGACATTCCTATTGCCCAACGAAAGGGAGTTAGGTCCTGCACTACCAAGCACCCCATTACCCACTTTGTCTCCTATGACCACATTTCCCCCTCGTACTGAGCCTTCCTATTGGCAGTTAATTGCATCCCTGTTCCCAAAAATGTTGCAGAAGCCTTAAAATGCCCTGAATGGGTAGATGCCATGAAGGAGGAGAATTGGTGGATCCTCCACAGGGGAATTGGTGGATCCTCCAAAGGGGAAAGACCCTGTGGGGTGCAAATGGGTGTTCACAGTTAAGCCCAAGGCAGATGGAACAGTTGAAAGGTACAAAGCAAGACTAGTGGCCAAAGGGTACACACAAGTATATGGGGTTGACTATGATGAGACTTTTGCCCTAGTGGCTAAGATGAACTCAATTAGGGTTCTCTTGTCCTTAGCTGCTAATCTTGACTGAGAATTGCATCAACTGGACATAAAGAATGCTTTCTTGAATGGTGACTTAGAAGAAGAGGTATACATGGTTCAACCTCCTGGATTCTGTGCCAAGGGGAGTGAAAATAGTGTGTGCAAATTATGAAGGTCTCTCTATGGCTTAAAACAGTCTCCTAGAGACTGGTTCAGTAAGTTTCACATGGAAGTTCAAGAGATGGGATTCAAACAATGTCAGTCTGATCATACACTCTTTGTRAAGAGATGTYAGGADYAGRTTGYKRTATTGATAGTGTATGTAGACGATATCATCATTACAGGAAGTTGGAGCTCAGAGATACAGAACTTGAAACAATTCCTTGCATCTAAATTTGAAGTGAAAGATATAGGACTCCTAAAGTATTTCCTTGGGATTCTCAGAAAAGGGTATCTTTGTCTCTCAAAGGAAATACACCCTTGATCTATTACGGGATACAGGTAAATTAGGTGCAAGGCTGGCAGATACTCCTATGGATGTGGACCACAAGCTAGGTGACTGT